GATTGAGGCTTTTGTGTGTATCAGAATTAGTCATTGTACCGTTGTAGGAATTGAGGCTCCAATGTAGCTTTTACGAGGACTGTGGCTTCATCCTACTTTTAGTTGTGGCTCGATTGCAGACGACCCGAGCTTTAACGGTGTGCCTGACAAAAATAATATTATCTCAACATTAAAATATTTAACATGATTACCTGGAGAGAGGGGTAGACTGTTTGTATGACAGCAATGTCAGAGCTGTGGATGCCCCGTGAGAGGGTCGCATGAGCTGAGGCTAAGCTAGGTATAGTCTCGGGAGATGGCTGTCGGGCAGAGACTTGCACATGAGCAAAGTCATAGAGGTCGAACTACGTATAGTCTCAGGAGATGGACTTGCGCGAGAGCAGAGTCATAGAGGCCGAGCTACATATAGTCTTGGGAGATGGTTGTCGTGGCAGAGGTTTACTAGGTGACTTGCGCGAGAGCAGAGTCATAGGCCGAGCTACATATAGTCTCGAGAGATGGTTGTCGTGGCAGAGGCTTACTAAGTGACTTGCACGAGAACAGAGTCATAGTCCAAGCATAGGAGGTGCCCAAGGTGAAAAGGGTGAGACCCTTCGTCTGGAAGGCATCATGGGAGGTGCCCAAGGTGGAGAGGGCGAGAGCCCTCGTCTGGGAGCTTGGTGATGGCGTCTTTTGTCTTTTTGTCTTCGTTGTTGTTAAGTCATGTTCTGACTTTTGTAAGCTATTTGTAAATTTTAGGAAGACAATTCGGGTACAATAATCTTCACAGAGTTTTATTTCATAAAATAATAATAAATAACAAAATAAATTTTCTGAAACAATAAAGGATAGATAAAATTTCAGGTGCCCGATTTCCCATAGGTGGGCCAAGACTTTTCTGGTGGAGTTGGAGTCATCTTCTCCTCTTAGCTCTCAGGTGATTCTCTGAATTTCTCCGAGGGGCTGCTGGAATTCTCTATCGCCCTAGTCCCGGCCAAGTGGCGAGGCTTGCCCTTTGCCAGCAACGTATTGCCTCAACTGGCTACGTTGTATGAGCTTCTCGATCTTCCTTTTAAGATCAAAGCAGTCGTCCGTGTCGTGGCCATGGTCGTGGTGGAAGCGGCAGTACTTGTTCAAGCTCCTTTGGTTCAGGGCGGTCTTCATCTTCTCTGGCCAGCGTACTATAGGATCATCTTGTATTTGGAACAGGATATGCTCCATGGAAGCATTGAGTGGCGTGAAGGCTTGCCGCTCTCTCAGAGGTGGGGGACTAAGGCGGTCCTTGACAGAGACTCTCTCTATCCTATTCCTTTTGTTCTCTACTTCTTCCATGTTTTCGCGGGTATCCTTTCTCTTCTCACCCTCGTAGGAGGACTCACCTCGTCTGGCCTTGGTGACATCCTCAGCGTTTATGTACTTCTGCGCCCTTGACAGCAGCTCGGGCATGTTGGAGGGCGACTTCTTAATGACGGAGAACATAAAGCTGGAGGAGCGCAAGCCTACGATAAAGGCAGCCAAGGCTACCTTATCATCTAGCTCCTCGATCTGGAGCACCTCCTCATTGAAGCGGGCAATGTAGTCTCTGAGGCTTTTATTCCTATCTTGCATGATGGTGAGCAGGTGGGTTACTGGTTTTTGATGTCGGCGTCCCCCAATGAAATGGGAGACGAAGGACCTACTAAGCTCTACAAAAGAGTGGATGGAGGAGGGTCTAATCTTGGAGAACCACTGGCGGGCAGACCCCTTCAAGGTGGTAGGGAAAGCTCTGCACATAATCTCCTTAGGCACGTTGTGGAGTTGCATGAGAGACTTATGTGTCAAGATGGTCGAGGGGGTCTTTGGTGCAATCGAAGATCTCAATAGTGGGCATCTTGAATTTCAAAGGTAGAGGGTAATTAAAAATGTCAGCAATAAAAGGCGTATCAGTGCGTCTTACCAAGTAGTCCACGGTTTCAGGTGCCTATGCCTTGATGGTGTTGAGAGCATCCTTGAGTTGGTTTTGCACCTCTCTGATCTTTTCGTCTCACTGATTGGGGACATCCTTGGCCGGGTGATGGTACTGGCTTTCATAGTCTCCGTACTGACTTTCCATGTCTTCATTCTCCTACGTAGGCTCATGAGGAGGCACTGCTGGGCAAAAGGCGTCTTGACGTGGTCCTGGGGTGTTCTAGAGAAGGACTCCATGGTGGGTGGTTGCCTGGCGCCCAAAAAAATAGGCTATTGCTCCTCTTCTGTTGGAGGGAGTGGGACTCCTCCCACAGGGTGAGGGGTGATGCGTCCTTGGGCCAGCATCAGTTAGATGATCTGCTAATTTTGGTTCACCAGTAGCTGCATGATTTGGAGGAGCTGTTGTTCGATGACGAGGGTCGTCGTAGCAGATGGTTCTGAAGGTGCAAGGGGAGGCGTAGCCTCCTCCCGGTGGGTCGGGTTATTGTCTCCCGGCTGTTGGCTCATCGATCGGTTAGTGATTGTCATGAATCGGAAGAGTAGAAAAACTAGTCGTTTCCCACAGACGGCGTCAAACTGATGATATACAAATCGGTATTGCGCAAGATCAACAGTAAAAAATATGAACAAAAGCAATCAATGAGCAGTAAATAGTGATCAATGGCAAACAATAAATAAGAGTCAACACAAAGATTTATAGTGGTTCGGTCCGGATGACCTACTCCACTCTCGAGAACGGTAGCGGTGGCCTGAATTTTTTATTAATGAATGAAGTCGCCGGAGAGTATTCTCCAAAAGTATTACAATCCTTTTAGAGAGAGAGAGAGAGAGAACAATGTGGGTAGGGAGATGTAGTGTGTGTAGGGATCTTGTAGAGGTCTCAAGGTCATGCCCTTTATGTAGAGGGCTTACATTATATATGCTTAGTAAGGCGGTGAGGCGGTGACGTGAGGGAGAGGACTTCTACCACTTTGGTAAGTATAGTTATGGTAGGATTTGATCTCCGTGCGTATCCCGATCTTTTCTCCCTCGTGTCCCTATTCCGTCGGAGGAGGACTCTTAGCTGGATTGGATTTGATCCTGAGCTTGGACTTGAGTCAGAGTGACAAAAAGAAGATGGCAAAAGAGAGGCAGAAGACCAACACCTGGGCGGCGCCCCTTGACTCTTTCTTGATGATTTAGGCTCCTCCTTAGGCTTCTCCTTGATCCTTGATGAGTGACATGGACCCCTCTTAATTCATTGGGCTGGTCCCTTCTTGGTGCTAGCTTGACCCTATCTTGGTAATGTCTTTGGGTCTCATTAATTTATTGGGCTTGACCTAGTTAATTTCGGACTCATCAGTTCCCAACACATTGTAGATGGAGTTAGGTACACCTAATTAGACTTAATTAATAAAAAGTACATAAAACAAAATATTTTGAAAAAAAATATACAACTGAGATACAAAGACGTAAATGCACATTTTAGGGTCATTTAATTCAAAATCTCTTATCTTTAATGCACCTTGAATATATATATATATATATATATATATATATATATATATATAATGCACCTTGAATATACATATATACATATATATATATATATATATATATATATACAAACATTAGTCTTGATCTAAAATTTTAATTTTTGTTTCTGGTTTGCAATCAGACCAGTTTATTTATTGCAATTTTATGTATTATTGTTTTGTTCTTGTGTGCTATTGTTTTATTCTTATTTACATAAAATGTTTTATGTGTTGCTATTTACTATATTTGCAAGTTTAATATCATTCCAGAACTTACAAAATAAATCTTTTCTTTACACAATGCTAGTCAAATAAGTTTGTCATGCCAAAATCAAGTTATTATTATTTGACACTGACTTTACAGAATTAACATAGTCATCCTTGGTCTTCATTGACAACTTGAATAAGGAGTATTTTTTTTTGGAGTAAATATTGTTTGTTATTTATTGGCATGATATTTTCAAGGGAAGGATCTGAGTTCAAAAATAGGGTTAGTCTATATATTCATGCTTCAATGAGGAGTACATTACAAGAAAAAGTAAGTGGAACAAATATTTCATGTTTCAAGGCCTTCAACAATTTGCAAGAAAATCAAGCCTAGTCTTTTGAAGAGCTGTTATAACCTCCCTCATGCTAATCCGCTCTTTAGGCAATTCTGCAGAGCATTTCAAAGCCAATTCCATGACAGATGCTACCACCACAACCAAAATTATTTTTTGCGACGTTTTTTTTTGCAATGAATTTTAATTTGTTGCAAAAAAGTATACTATCCGCGACGTTATAATATTTTTGTCGCCAAAAGTATTTTTTGGGAATTTTTTTGCGACGTTTTTTAAAATCGTCGCGAAAAGGTGATTCGATTCAAATTGTTTTTGGCGCGAGAAATGGCGAAAAATTAAGATTTTTTATGACAAAAAAGTATTGACTTAAAGTTAAATGAAATAATAATGTCAATTGGCGACATTTTTTTTAATTCGTCGCAAAATGTAAATTTATTAATTTTAAATTAGACTTAAAATATTTTTTTGCGACGTTAACGTCGCAGAAGATAAATTTTCATTATTAAAGTTAAATGAAATAATAATGTCAATTGGCGACGTTTGTTTTAATTCGTCACAAAATATAAATTTATTAATTTTAAATTAAACTTAAAAAGTTTTTTTTCGACGTTTTTCAAAAACGTCGCGAAAGATAAATTTTCATTATTAAAGTTAAATGAAATAATAATGTCAATTTACGACGTTTTTAGAAATTTGTCGCAAAATATAAATTTATTAATTTTAAATTAAACTTAAAATATTTTTTGCGACGTTTTTTAAAAACAAACGTCGCCAAAAAGTCATATGCTTTTAACATTTATTGGCACGATGAATGGCGGGAATTGATGATTAGAAATTTTAAATTAGACCTTAAAAGTTTTTAACGACATTTCTAAAAATGTCGCAGAATATAAATTTTTTCTATCTGACTGTCTATTTCCCATAACATGTTTTTCGCTCAATAAGTGTAGCTAGCTCAGATAAATCCCTCACGCCAGTCTCCGCCTCTCTCTGGCTCTTCATGGATTATCCACAAAACCCCATTGATCCCTGCCTCTTTCTGCCTCAAAACTCCATCGAAGCTTTAGATTTGCTCAAAGCTTCAGGTATTCTGCCTCTCTTTGCCAGACTCAGACCATCTAAGCTTCAGACCTCCATCAAAGCTTCGGACCATCATTCACTGCTTCAGACCATCGTTTGCTGGTTCAAGTATTCTCATTTCACCTAAACCCCTCCCCTTAACTGAGTTTCTTATCGATATGCGAAGGTAAAACCCTAAAGCTTCAAATTTGTTTCTTTATGGTTTCAATTGTGTCATAGTTCTTGTTTTTTGATTGATTGAATCTCTGTTTGTGGATTTATATAAATTTTTGTTCTTGTTTTTCCAAATATTTTTTGGTGAGTTGTTTTTGTTAATTAGATGTGTTCTTATATTGAAATCAGTTGGTGGATATTGAAAATTTTTTCCTTTGAGCCTACATTTTGGTAACAATGGTTGATTTTAACACTGATTCTCAAATCTCTCAAGATTTGATCACTCCTCTCAATACCCATTTCGCCTCTCACTCCAAATCCTCTGCCATGGAACCACCACAACCACCACCACCAAAATCCTACTAGCGATTCAGCAAACAAGACTTTTTCCCAGCACCCTCCTTCCAAAACCTCTCCACAACGATGCTGGCCCAAGTATAGTTCTTTCTTATGCCACTTCAGGCCTCTCTACGTTGCTATCAGTATTCTGTTACACTGAATTTGCTGTGAAAATACCTGTGGCAGGTGGGTCTTTCTCATTTCTTCGAATCGAGTTGAGTGATTTTCTTGCTTTTATAGCTACGGATAATATTTTACTAGAGGCCGTTGTTGGTGCTGCTGGGTTAGGGCATTCATGGTCTTCTTATTTTGCTATTATGATAAAATCTGATGCGAATTTCCTTAGAATTTGAGTGAACTCCTTTGCTGAAGGGTTTAATTTATTGGACCCAATTGCGGTTGTGGTTTTAGCGATTGATAACACTATAGCTATGAGTGGGACACACAGGACATCTTGTTTGAATTGGGTTGCATCTATTTTCAGTGCTAGGGTCATAGTTTTCATTATAATTGTTGGATTTATGATTGGTTGCTTAGCTTGAACTAATTATGTGGAAAGGACTTAGTTGATTCTGCTGTTAGTCTTCTGGATGTTTCTAAATTTTTGGACAGCTATGGGCATTGGGTTAAATTGTTTTGTTCCTGTTGGTATGATATTGAATTGGGTTTTATTGAATTGCATTGGGTTTAATTGAATTGCCTTTGCATTGGGGGCTAAACTATGGAAAGTTTGATAATTGATATTGAGGAGATCCAAATCCTTATCTTTATAACCTTTATGGCCTACTAAAACACATTCCTTTATGTGAAGACTCCAAACCATTAAAGACTCCAAACCATTCAAGTACCCCAAAGCATTACATCAGGAGAATAGCTAGTTAATCTAAGTATTAAAGAGAATCAGCAAAAGGTTAAAAAAAAATAACTACACATAATTGTAAGGGCATTCAAGGTTATTTCCAAGAAAAACAATGACTCATTAAGTGAAGATTCGACTCTATTAAGTAGTTTTTCAAGCCTGCTCTATTAGTTTCCCCACAAAACATGCAACTTGCATACCATAGGCAGTAGAATGCATTTAGATTACATGCATCCTGAGTCTTAGTATCTTTTTACTATCGTTTTATGTTCAACACTTAAGAAGTATAAAAACTAAAACTTGGAGCTAAGAGGGTCAATCGGTTTGTTTCAACTCCGTTTGCCGTGAAAGCGAACGGGGAACAACTAAAAATTTCAGCACTTAAGATTTAGAAAACCTGTATGTTTTTTAAAAATTTGACTGATAATTTATTAATGTATTTTTGTCCTTTTTTGTACCAGATGAATTGAACTTGTGATAACAATCTTGTTCTACCATTTTTGAAAGTTATCAAGGCTATCACATATTGACTTGCATGCGTGGCAAGGCAGTTGACTAACATTTTTACTTTGTGGTAGTGTTTCTCATTCACTGCACTTTCTTATTTGAGTTTCATGTTGATGTAGGAAATGCTGCATAAGAAAACTTCTACAAAATACTTAGCAAGTGTAAATCCTGAGAAATGAAGATTATTGGTTCACTTTCTACTTCTCTGGAAAAAAAAAATCAACCTTTTACTGAATTGCTGTTCAAAGTTAAATGAGCAGGCTCCTGACTGTGAAACCATGTTTCAGAATCTACTAGACCATGTAAATGCTAATGGAGAACAGATGCCTATAGCTTCCTCAAGCATGATTCGTTCCCATAGTGTATCCGGTGACCTGCATGGTGTTCAACTTGATCCTGTAGCAGCTGATATTCTTAGGAAAGAGCTAGAGCATGAAACTTTTGTACGACTCAAAATTTCCCCAACTAGTATTCTCCATCTTCTTGCTTTGGTGTATGTCATTGTTACCTGAACTCGCATTTTCCAGTTATATTACCTTGCTTATGTTAGAAAATTTTGTGTTGGTGGGTTATTGCTGCAGAGTATGCAAAGTAATTATCTAAGGATTGCATCTTATCAAAAATGTTCAATCTGCATTCTGTAGGTGGACTAGACCGTGATGAAATATCCATAGACATTATTGATTTCATTCTTAATGGGTCGGGCAGTTCATTTTATAGCCTCCAATAATGATTGTGGAGTTAGAGACTTTGATATGGAAAAATTTCAACTCTGTAAGCATTCTCGTTATCCATGGCAAGTTAATGTAAGTCCTCCTCTGTTTCTCACTCAGTTTGTTAGTCTGTTAAACTGCGTAGCATTTTTGCTGATCATTTGGCTGCTTAAGTTACAATATGAGAAGATTATATGATATTCACTTTATTTTTAATTGTTATTTTTTTGTTATTACTTATTAGTGCTTTTACTTATGTTCACATTTGCATCTGATTTCAAGAAAACTTCGCCTATTCCTGAGTCTCTGTTCTTCGTGTTGATGAGCTCACCAGGAATGTGAATGAAATACATTTAAGAGAAATATTTAGTACGTTCTTCTTATTCTTATCTTTGGGTGCACACTATTTTTTCTAGTAATATTCTTCTATAGTTAACCGAAAATCATGGATATTACTTTGTGGAAAGTTGCATTTCCAGATCAAGCATGTGTATCAGGATGCCAATAGCATTGCAGAATTTCTGGCTTCTTATGTAGTCCTTTATGGTAGAAACTCTGATTTTTCTGAAAATGGGAAGCTGTTCACTGCTAGAAGAGTACTTCTTCAGCAGGACCAAGGCATGATGCCTTCTATAAGATTGAAGAAGATGAGTGTATGTGATAACAGACATGGGGTTGGATGATATTGTGATTAATGTGGATGTGCAGGTGCTGCTTGGGGTGCTGGGCAGTGAGCTATTTTATTGTCTGAGTTCAGTTGGGAGGAGGAGTTTTGTGTAATGTCAGGGCTTTTTTGTTATGTTTGGTGAGGTGTGCCTCTGGTGTCACTTGTTATGTTTCTCTGTCTTTTTGGTTGTGCTCATTGGTTTGAGGTTGGTTGTTGGTGCCTTTCCTAGCTGGGTGCTTCTGTGCTGTCAGTCTGCTACTATATGGCTGTGTGCTATGGTGCAGGTGCTTTGCTGTGGTTTTGGGGGTGATTGACTTGCCTGTTCCTCATTTTTGGTCATCCCCTCTTTTGCTTGTGTGCACTGTGAAGGGATTGGGAGGTGTTATCGATGTTGTGGAGGTGCATGTGCTGCTTGGTGTTCTAGGCAGTTTTAAACGGCTTCCTTGGTTCAGTATCAGTTTGGATGCAGTGTGTGATGTGCTTCTGGGCTGCTGGTTCTGGGGCAGGGTATTTCCAGCTGGTTGGTGAAAGTTCCTACTTGGTTCTGACTTCACAGGTTTTTTCATGTTGAAGGGTTAAAGTCAACCCTTGTTGGCCTTCCTCTTCTTCATATGGTTTTCCTGCTATTGGAGGTTTCTGGCTTGGTGTTGCATTGTTCTATTTTGACTGGAATGGTGTTGTGTTATGTTGCAGGGCTTCTTTTTCTCCTTTGTGCTGTGTTGTGCACTGTTTACGTGACTGTTCATGTGAACAGTCTTCCTGTGTGCTGCTGATGCCTTCTGTTCTGCTGTTTTTTGGATTTTGTCTGGTATGGAACTGATCCTTTGCTGGTTTACCAGTTCATTTCAGCTGGATTCACAGCTAGAATTCTGCTGCTCTCTTCTGGCTCTCTTTTTTCTTCTTTGCCACTTTTTGGCTTACTTTGCTAGGCTGATGCTGATGGATTTTCAACAACTCTCCTCAACTGCTGGCTCTTAGCTGCTGCTTCCCTGCTGGACTTCAGCTAGATTTCAGCTTTATCTCATGGTTTTTGGTGCTTTCAGCTGGTCCTGCTTGCTGTCTTTGTTGGACAGTCACTACAATGTTCATTTATGGTGCCCAAATCAGCCCAGCAAATGAATTGGAACTTTTACGTTATTGTTTTGGTGAGTGAAGCACATTCTCTTTGCAATATTGATTGACATAGGGAATTAAGGAGCATTCCTTTTGCTCTCTAGTCATTTAGTTCAGAAATAAGCTTCATGGTGAGGTAATAGAGTTAATTTTCCTTTTACTATAGGAGCTTCACTTACTGCAACGTGGTTTTGGAGATATTTTCTGCATGTTTGTTCTGATAGATAAAAGGAGTTGAAGAATATTAGTATTTATACTCAATTCCTTGAGCATTGATATACGAGTTATAAGATTTCTCGCTTGCCTATAAGATAAAAGGAGTTGAAGTATATTAATTATTTATGCTCTTACCTTGAGCATTGATATACGAGTTATTTATGCTCAAATCCTTCTTAACATTTCTCTCTTGCCCTATTGATAGGGATCTTCTGATCAATGCAATTATTGAACTTCAGAGGTATTAGTTCACAAGAAGTACCAGATTAAAAAGCTCTTGAATTAGCCATGATAAATTGGAGTTCTCTACATTAATCTGTCATAAATAAAGAGGCTCCAAGCAATGTCACTGTTGATTTAAACTACTCATGGTACTGATTTGTTGAGCTTGGAGATGATATTTCAAGGCATGGAGCTGGACTGCTGAAGATGTTCAAGTATAAGAGACATTAAATGTAATTAGAGATGATTTAAATCCTCTTGAAAGATTAAAGCCATTTTTTTTTAGAACTTCATGTTCTTTGATTCTTGTAATTCATTTTTTTTTGAAATAAAATTTTATTTTTTTTAAAAAAAGTGCGAAATGTATTAATTGTATTAATTTTTTATTGAACACAGGTATTAATGGTGTACAGGTGAAAATTTTTATTGGAATATTATTTTGATGAATTATTTTTTTTTTAAAAAAGAACATTTTTGCGACGAAATTAAAATCGTCGTGCAACATTGTTATTCAATTTTTTTTTACGTAAAAATTATTAGCGACGATTTTTTTACGTTGAGAAAAATTAATCAAATTATTATTTTTTACATTTTTAATTTATGTAAAAAATTATTTGCGACGATTTTTTTACGTCGCAACAATTAATTAAATTATTATTTTTTACATTTTTTTATCAAAAAAATTATTCGTGACGATTGTTTTACGTCGCTAAAAATTAATTAAATTATTATTTTTTATTTATGAAAATCTTATGTGCGATGATTTTTTTACGTAGCGAAAAAATAATTAAATTATTATTTTTAATATTTTTTATTTATGTAAAATATCATTCACGACGATTTTTTTACGTCGCGAAAAATTAATTAAATTATTATTTTTTATTTTCTTACGCTGGTGGAATAGATTTTAGCTACGTTTTTTTACTTTTAGCGACGTTTTTTTTTCGTCGCAAATTATTTTTTTTTGCGATGAAAATAAATTTGCATTGCAAAATATTTTCTGCGACGAGACTATTGGCGACGATTTTTTTTTAATTTGGCGACGAAAAAAATCGTCGCAAAAAACAATTTTTGCTGTAGTGTACACATTGCACCTTCACAGTCAAGTGTTCATCCATTGGCCTTACTAAGTTGGCATCTATAACTTGGAGTATTGAATTTTGTATGGAATTATCCACCCATTGCTTGAGGCTAAAATCTTTAGTGAACTTTTCATCACAGGGTTTCGTTCTCGTAAAGGTTTTCATCAGCATAATTCCATAGTTGTAAACATCACACCTTGTAGAGACTAGTCCTTCCGATCCATACTCTACATCCATCATACACTTCATCAACAAAATTATAATGCTTTGTGAAGAATGATGGAAAAATACTTTATCTCATCTGTTATGATGGAAAACTTACTTTATTATACTACTTTATCTCATCTGTTATGATGGAAAACTTATTTTCGTCCCTAAATTGATGCACTTTTCCTTTTTTAGGTAGCTTTGTCTTCTTTGTGCCAAATAACTCTTCGCAATACCAGCGATCAATAGGATTGCTACTACCTTCCTTGATGCAAGCTCGGCTATTCGATCGACTCAAATCAACCGCTATTTGGTTTGGGCTTTAAAAATAAGTGGAAGGCATCATTTACTAAATCATGGATGGACAATTTTCACAAATCCAATAATGAAATTTTGTTTCGGTCCTATCAAAACAAAAGAAATGAAACAAATATGCAATTCCTATCTATCGAAGTTTATGAGATGTTTCGGAATATGTACGAAAGGCTTCGATCATTTTTTTGGAGTCTTAGGGCAACAAATTTACTACTGTTACGCGATGCCTTAGCTTAACACTTGTTGTTTTCTTGGCTTAGCACTATCAATATTTTGAAATAGGCATATTGCTACTATGCTTATATATTAGTGTTCGGCCAAACCTGTGGCCATCCCTGACACAGATATGCTTCCTTATAAAACACATATGAATATGCTACATTAATCATGACACAAGATGCAGAGATATACCTTTCAATGTGTTTTCTCCTAGATTCAACCTCTGAAGCATAGTCAAATTGCTGATTCCTCTAGGTATGCTTCCCATGATTTTGTTCCTGTAAAATCCTAAATGCTCAAGTTTTCCACATCGGTCCCAACTGGATGGAAGAAGACCCTGAAACTGATTGTAAGGAAGAGAGAGCACTCTAACTTTAGGAAGATGAGTGCAAATATCTCCTTATATGGGACCAGATAAGTTATTATCTGGAAGAGCAATCATTTCTAATGAGGACATGTTGAAGATAAAAGGTATGGAACCAGAGAGCTGGTTGATACCCAATCTCAATATTTTTAGGCTCGAAATGTTACCAATCCCTCTTGGAATATGTCCTTGTAGATGATTGCCCGATAATCGTATCACCACTAGACTACTGATGTTTCCTACGGAAGTGGGGATAGCACCTGAGAAATTATTATAACTCATTGATGTTCTGGTAATCACCCAAGCCATGATGAAACCTCCCTGCTTAAGAAATTATTTTCCAAATCAATTTCTTTCAATCGATGCGAATGAGCTAACTCCACAGGGACATGACCATGGAAATTGGTGTCATTAAGTTTTAGGGAAGCAGGGAATGAGAGGTTTCCTAGATGTGGAGAAATGGCGCCACTAATATTCATGTTGGGAAGATTCAAAGTTGTGATTCTTTGGTGACGAACACCACAAGAAACACCAATCCAGTTGCATACAGGGGTGGTGGTGGACCAATTGTTTACTAGAATGTTTTGAGGGTCAAGTCTCATTTGAGTTTTGAAGGCAAGAAGAGCATATTGATCGGTGATCAAGTTAGTTTCAGTCCTGGCAAAGCAAGCTGTGAAACTGTTTATCCACAAAAGTGTTACAGCAAAGAGGAAAATGAATTTCTTCTATTCCTTCTTTAATTCATGTTTTGGAAGTTGTACTCAGACCATCTTCAATGGAAACTAGATTTGAGTAAAAAAAAGAGTAAAAATAATGATTTGGTATAAATTTCTCAAATGCAAATGGAGAAATTCAAATTTAAAGGAAAAGAAACCTAAATTTAAATGAGGACTAACCCAAATTTAAAAGATGGTAAAATATGACCATTGGATCTTCAAAGAATTTTGAAATGTCCCCATTAAAGATTTGGTTATAGATTTAGGTCTCCCTTGATTTGGGTTTAAAAAAAGTATTTGATATGAGTATGAGTCTAATATTGAAGAAGTATTTTAGATTATTTTTTCTTAAATTTAAATTTAGGTATGAAAAAGGGTAAGAGCTGAAAATGCTGTAAGGGTGGGATTGATTGCTATTTGACAGTCACATCCGTAGTTTTGTTTTTTTCTCAGATATCTAGAAGTTGCAACTAGAGGTTAGGAACAATTTGTAATCCATCTGTGTACATTTGTTGGTTGCCTTCAACTCTTTCTATGCCTGTAGCTGACCGTATTATTCTTGCAGATTCTCCAACGTAGCTTGCATGATTTTTCCAGTCTAGCATTCCTTACAATCTATGTGCTTCTTGTACCACCAGGTTAGTTTCATCATTTTTCAGAAATGTGGATATTTGTTGGTAGCAAGTTTGCTGATTGAGTTTATGGTTTTCCACCCATAATCATCTAGGGTATAATATTAGTAAAAAAAAAAATATTGTAAAAGTCGTATCGAATTTGTGTTGTCTAATATATTATTTTGTGTAGATCCATTTATCAAGTAGGTTTGATGGGTGATTTCGTTTACAATTTGAACCCGTTAAAAATATACACATATTAGTTTATGTATTGTGTAGAGAATTTATACCCAATCACATGGTTTAACTGATATTTTTTTTTCCCTTAATGTCGTTATGAACAATTCTGTAATTCATTCATGTTGTTAAGAAATTGTTTATCTTGTTGCAGTAGGTGGTAAATGGTTGTTTAATGTTTATGGCCTTAGGGAGGGTTGTGGCGTGAGGTCCGATTTTTAGAAAAAACTATACCTAAATATTTTAGAAATTATTGAGCCCAACTGGGTTTAAATTGAAAAAGACAAGATCATAAAATGAACCAAACAACATTAAGATTTGAAAATTTTAAGGAATTTGAGCCTCGAATGGAGGTTAACTTTTTGTGTAATGAATTCTACTTAAGATGCTTTCATGACTTCCATTTGGTTTTTGCTTTATGTACTTTGTTAAGTATGGTAAGGTATGAATCTAGTCTCGAAAGAAGTATATTATAGCAACATTGAATTTAAGAATGCAAGGAACTAAACATAAACTAACGAAGTAGAAATTAACAATATAATTCATGACAGATAAAAAGGGTTGTAAAATGATTCTATCCCCTGTAATTGAGAGGCACATGCATACGTGTTGACCTAAAGTCAAAGATTTCTCTCCTCGTACGGCTGAAAACATGACTATCCTCTAGAACTCCAAGAAGCAATCTCGGTGATCTGTCCATGCAGTAAATGTAAATCTATAATGTCGTCATTGCGGAAAAATGTAATATAAGAATAATGATTCTGTGTACATCAAAATTTTTACTAAATTTTAAATACCAAGTGATGTAACATAGTAATTGTAATGGTGTTTTACCCTCCACATAAGGATTCTAGCTGACTTGGGCGATCCCTCCAGTGGGTACCTCCTCCATAGTAAGTGAACACTTATATGACAGGGAGGGAGACAACTCTGTTCTAATGTGAGATGACATAGGGAAGAGAGGTAAAGGATACTGGAGGGATCGCTCAGGTCAACCAGAATCCTTCCGTGGAGGGTAAAACACCCTTAAAAAAAGGAGCTTAATCTTTACTTGTCAGTATCCGAAAGAGCCGTGAGTGGGGCACTGGTCAGATAGAATAAAGGCGCACAAAGACCCGTATATTTTGTAAGCAAAACTTTGCTCGATGCCGAGACAAGGTACACTTCAATGGAGAAATTGGTCCTGGCCTTAGTAGTTTCGTGTAACGCCCCAAAAACCCCCGTGGGTGACATTACATTCTAAAAACCATTTACCGTATGAGAGCATTAAGTAAAATTCATCACGACGAAAGTTTCATTCATCAACCATTCATATTTTAACAAAATTTGGGCAGAGTCTCCTTTGTACGGGGAGCTCTACCCAAAACACAACCTGTACAATTATATTACAATTGACCACACCGGGTCCACATATGCATAACTATTGACCACACCGGGTCCATTTTTCCATCATAAAATAAACTTGCATTCATCATATGTCATATTCACACTATCATCCCAAATTAATAGGTCTAATATTGACCTTTACATCTCCAAAATGTAATAATATAACGCAGCGGAAATAACAGAAATGAACTAGAGTTCAAAAGGATATTCTAAGCATAATCTAGTCTAGAACAAAATAAAAGTGTTGCTCTAAGCGTCCACCTCGGGATCCATATCCCCGTCAAGCGGAGTCTTCCAATGGGTGGGCTCCTCGGCTCCTAACTCCTCCTCAAGTGTGAAATCTGAAAAAATTTTATTTGTAGGGGGTGAGCACGAAGCTCTGTAGCAAAATCCTCTCAACTCAAACAAGGTTTGAAAAACATAGCAAACGGTCGGTCTTATTTCACAACTAACATATATATAGGTTTGGAATGAAAATAGTGACATTTTAAAAGAGATCTCAAGTTTAAACAATAGCAATAATCAGTTAAAAGAATAAAGTGAGTTTAGCATCGATAAACAAAATTCTAATTTAAGCTATTTAAGAAGGGCTTCTCCCTAAGCATTGTCTCATACCAATGCATTGGCAAGAACGACCCAACTCCCGATTCCATGTATTTTTGGTTCATCCCCGTACCATGTATGTTGATTGCTTCTCGTGAATCTACCTAACGATCATGCCTAGTCCACCAATTCCAACCAACAATCACAAATCTCTTTAGGAAGTGCGTGTACCGTCTCCTACGGCATTGACGAAATCCTCCCAAGGTGTCTAGTATACTAACCCTTTTTCTCGGTATATATGTGAACAATAGTGATCGCGAGCACAACAACGATCCACTACGAGCATTAGGCAACCATCTCACCCCCCATTGGGATAGACTAACCTCTAACACTCTACGGCATCTCTCGAAGGTAATCCAAGTCCATCACAACAACCATACAATGAGGAAATCAAGAATATTCACAATTCACAACAATTTCCCAAATATAGTAAAATCCCCAATTTTGTTTTCACATTTGTCATATAATCGAATAATCCAAGAAAATATGCAAGAGATCGTAATCTATATCATTTTGTTATACAATATTCAACACTAAAGTTTTAAAATCAAAGACAAAGAAGAAATTAGGAGAAAATCCCTTTTCTTGAAAACTAGGGCTTTGAAGATAAAAAAAAAAAATCAATAGAGCTTTGGTGGTTACCCACCCTTCATATTGTTCAAAACATGACATTTATTACAAATAGAACAAGAATCATGTATTTCATATTATATATATGAGAAGGAGAGTGAAGAAACATATATCTATATATATATATATATATATATATATATATATATATATATATATATATCTAGCCTCAATGTGAGAGATTGAGAGAAAATCCCCTACCTTAAATCAAGATTCCAAGCTAAGACCCAAGCTTCAAGACCTTCTTGCTCTCCTTTCTTTTCCTCTTAATCTTCTCCTCCTAGGGTTTCAAAAGATTTGGGTGAGAGGGTAGCAAGAATGGAAGAAAATGGGAGGAGAATGTATTCTTGAAGAATTTGAAGTTTTGATTTCTACAAGGTATAAATCCCTCTTGATTGGTATTTCTATCTTCCTCTCTTCCTCTAAAATGGTTCCTAGGGTTTGGAGGGGTGAAATGAATGCTAAAGGGACGACATTAGGTTTTTATAGGGCAAGAAAATCGAGCAAAACCCGATATTTTCTGTTCAGAAAAAATCGGGTTTCCTTCGTACTGTTCACAGATTTTTGGTGCGACTTCCAGGTCAGTTTTGACCCATTTAGAGGTCGAATTGGAAATTTTTCATGAAATACACTTTTGTAGCCCTAGATGTCTACTATTTCCTGTCAAAATGTCAGATCAATTGGACATCAAAATATAAAGTTATGATCAAAATACTAAGCAGTGTCTATCACCCTTTTTACCCAATTTCACTCCAATTTGGTTTTACTTCTAAAATACTTCCTAACTTCTAATACATCCCATATTACCTCTCCCAATGTTTTCCGACCTCCCGAATTCAATGGTAATGTTATTTTGATAAAAAAAATTAATATATTTATTTAGTTACCCTTATCAATCTTAAACACATCCAAAAAAAAAATTAAGTTTGACCCAAAAGTCAATCCGTTCGAAACTCAAACTTCATGATTAATATTTCAACAATGATTCTAAGTTTTTATCCTCATTTTATTCATATTTGGAAAAATCTTAAGATATTAGTATTCTTATTTAATTTTAGTACAGGGTCTTACAATCCACCCCCCTTAAAGAAAGTTTCGTCCTCGAAACTTACCTCAAGTAGCGAACAAATATGGATATTTCTCTCGCATCTCCCACTCCGGTTCCCAAGTTGCTTCCTCTACGCCATGATGTTGCCACAGGACTTTCACCAGCTGGATTACCTTGTTGCGAAGCACTTTCTCCTGGATATCAAGAATCTTCACCGGCTGCTCTTCATAGGTGACTCCATCTTGCACTTCAATATCCTCCAAATCCACGACATGCGACGTATCTGGTTGACATTTCCTCAACATCGAAACGTGGAACACGTCATGAACTCCTGACAATGATACTGGTAGCCGAAGTTGGTATGCTACTTTGCCCACTGTCTTGATCACTTCAAATGGACCGATGTACCTTGGAGCGAGTTTTCCTTTCTTACCGAATCTAAGT